CTCAAAGAAGACTCTGCGCAGTAGTCTTGAGGGACCGACCATCCTGGACATCGAGAAATTCCATCGCGAATCATTCTTCTACACTCATCTGCTCAACTTCAGTGGTAAGGAACAGGCTAAATGCCTGTCCTCCCCACATTTGTTGTATGTTCACCCTTTTATGAACAGTAAAACTGATGTGCAATTACCATGATTTTAGTGTCCAACTATATGACTATACTATACTATTTTAACCAAACCTTTTTTGCATACCACTATGTACCAATACACATTATCTCTAATAATTTATATTAACCATAGCAGCGTTCCATTACAAATTAAGAATTGTCCATTTTGATTTCATGGTGACTTGGTGTCCAAATAGTTTATGGGGCCAGTCTATTTAGTTGAATTTGGTCAGACGGTATTAATGTTTTGTCTCTTATGCATGCGTGTTGTGTTGCAGAGACACTGCAGCAGTGCTGTGATTTGTCCCAGCTCTGGTTCCGCGAGTTCTTTCTGGAGCTCACAATGGGCCGCCGCATCCAGTTTCCCATTGAGATGTCCATGCCTTGGATCCTCACTGACCACATCCTCGAGATTAAAGAGGCCTCTATGATGGAGTGAGAACAAAATATTACATTTTGGTAACACTTAAGTGTCCTTGTTATGGACTTTACATGTACTTACTATAGTAATAGCAGTAAATTATACATAACTAACCTTAAACCAAACCCTAACGCTATAGTAAGTGCATGTTAATTAATATTACTCAGTACTTAAATGTATAATTACACTGTAACAAGAACACCTTAAAAATAAAGTGTAATACAGTTTTTTAGTACATGAATTGCCATAGTATTTGTGCAAAAAAGTATGCTTATAAGTCTGTCTGATGTACACAGGTACGTGTTGTATTCACTGGATCTGTATAACGACAGCGCACACTACGCTCTCACAAAGTTTAAAAAGCAGTTCCTTTATGATGAGATTGAAGCTGAGGTAAAACCCTCTTGACCTTCTACATTCATTCTAAAAAAATCGTTAAATCAGTTATTGCATTTTGCATTTAATCTGCTTTAATGTTCTTTTAAGTGATTATGCGTCTGGATTTTTTCTTTCTCTCAGGTGAATCTCTGCTTTGACCAGTTTGTCTACAAACTTGCTGATCAAATTTTTGCCTACTACAAGATTCTTGCCGGAAGGTAAGTCTGTCTGTGAAAATGTCTTTTTCTGGACAAATATGAAACCATTTTTCTGTAGTAATGCAAGTAACTTTGGGGATTTAAAGTATCTTTTATTTTCTGAACACGATTTCTCTCTGTAGTCTCCTTCTGGATAAGAGACTAAGAGCTGAATGTAAGAATCAAGGTGCCAACATCTCGTGGCCTTCCTCCAATCGTTACGAGACGCTGCTCAAACAGAGACATGTACAGGTAAGAATGGCCACGTGACTCTTCTGTACGATTACATATTCATTTCTGTTTATTAATGTTGTTGTTAAGTTCGCTCATCTTTTTTTGCCCTTTTCTCTTGCAGCTCCTTGGACGATCAATCGACTTGAACCGCCTGATCACCCAGCGAGTGTCCTCTGCGCTTTACAAATCTCTAGAGCTAGCCATCAACCGCTTTGAGAGCGAGGACCTTACTTCCATCATGGTGCCTTATCCTTCAAGTGTTTTTCAAGTCATTTTTCTCTTACTGAGACCTTGAATTTGCTCAGCTTGTTTTAGCTGTGTTTTTACTTGAATTTGCCTGTTCAGGTTTTCTAATGAAAGGCAGGTTGCTTTCATAGCAGAATTCAAATTCAGAGCAGCAGCAATAATTCTCTGGCTCTGCCAGAGAGTGAATCGTTTTGTTATTATTTGCTTCCTGTATGTATGTATGTGTGTGTGTGCATAAATGTAGACATTGGACGTCTGATTGTGACACAGCATTTTTAAATGCCATGAAATTGTTCCAAGGCTCATGGTTTTCATACAAATTGTTGTCAGAAGTCTGCGTGTGCTTGAATAATATAGATATTCATTGTGTGTAAACATCATTGTTGTGTCAAAACGTGAGAGGGCTTTTTTTCAATCGTTCTTTCTCTTTGTCTATGATCAGGAGTTGGAGGGTTTGCTGGATATAAACCGGATGACCCACAAGCTCCTCAGCAAGTATTTGACACTGGACAGTATCGACACCATGTTTCGCGAGGCAAACCACAACGTATCTGCACCCTATGGCAGAATCACTCTCCATGTCTTCTGGGAACTCAACTATGACTTCTTGCCCAACTACTGTTACAACGGCTCCACGAACAGGTGGGTCAGCCCATCACCCTCACCCCCCGAAATGTCGGAATTATAAGAATTTTTTTTGTTTTTTTTTTGTTAAATATATTATTATTAAGTATAAATACTAAAAAGAATCATGCAGACTCTACTAATCTTTACTGATATGGTTGTGCATAGACATGTGCCGGTATTCGTTAATGCGATAAATCGCTGTAATGAATATGCACGATATTGTTATCGCGGGCACTTCAAAATACCGTGAAAAATAATAGATTCGAATTTAGACTTTTAGAACGTGCATTAGCTTATTTTCCATCAACCGCTTAAACACTGCATATGCTGCGCAAAACATGTGCGCACTCTGATGTAAACAATCCCCACATGTATAAGCACTGTGTGCATGCGGCAGCAGTGCGCACTCTAGTCTAATGTAAACAATCCTCACATGGAGTAGAAGCATGGCGGAAGGAGGAACGCTGCCGACGATTTATCCCTCGCAGGGCTGCCAACTCTCACGCATTCAGCTTTCAGACAGGACACGGAATATGTGCGGGGACGTTTTGTTGCTGCGCCGACCAAAGCACGCCGGGGTCAAAGTTCAAAATAGTTAAACTTTTTATTTGCAAAATAGCAAATCGCGTTGTATCTGAAGGGCAACGTTGAACCCAGCGGCCAGCGCCGCGCATTCCGCGACCTGTCTGAAAGGCGCTTTACGCAATTGACACTTTTCACACGCTCTGACACAGAGAAAAATCGCGGAGCAAAGAGGACACTGACACCGACAGACTAGAAAGCGCAGGTTACTTTTGATATGAAAAAAATAAATAAAAATCAGCTCTTAGGTTCTGTCCATTGTGACAGATCGCTGCGCCTCAGTTCAAGTAAACCGATCATCTGTTACTTTTTATTTAAAGATACAGTACAACTTACCGAAATGTATGTGCCTCATACATAATATCGATCAATCAGTGTTTTCCAAACACGGAAAGAGGTCAATAAAACTGCAGGAGAACAGTTATGTCACGGAACGTTACATTTACCTCAGGAAAGCCATTTAATGACCAGCACATTAGTTGACTAGAAAAAAATAGCGAGGAGTATTTTGCTAAATATGTGCACTATATTACATATTTATTATATGTTTACTTGTCATTACATAATTTTTATTATAATGAAAACCCCATTATATTTAATTTCTCTCTGTATGTTTACAGCATTATGTGAGAGATTTTTTTTTTCTTGAGAACAATTTACATGTAGACTGTTAATTGAGTGTTTGTCTAACTTTTGCAGTTATATCCATCACTTTCTCTTTTCTCATCTCTTTTATTTTCGAACACGATAATTTTACAAGGTACACTCTGACCCAAATATCAAATATGACAGCAGAGAGAAAAAGAAACGGCTTTGTAAGGATCCATAGTGAGGTGGGAAATATTTCTATGACTAAATTGTGAGGTCTTCAAGATAGAGTGTACGGACGTGATGTACAGGTAGGCTGAATGTGGGATAAAAAGAAGACAAGTCATCTTTACACTGTCAGGTTGAGGTGGCTTTAACATTTTGTGGCTTTCAGGGGAGATAGGGCTGTTGATATTTGAAAAATTCATCATAAATGGAGGCGTATCAAAATGAACTAACACCATAAGGGTTCAGCTGTTGTCTCAATGCAGTTCCTAACCCTAACTGGTAGGAGGATGCCATCCCTGCAGGTTACATCTTTATAAGATTTCAGAAACTATATTAGCTTCAGCTCGGGATGCAAATAAGGTACACAGATCACACTGATGCCACTTCTCGCCTGCTCCTGTTATATTAAACACACAGCTACAGTTACTTTAACCAGAACAGATATTTGTAGCCCTTTTTTTGTCTTTTTCCCTTAGAAACATGTTCCTCTGAAAGCTTGTGTGATGAGTTTTTCCAATGTATTGGTACTGTGAATGGGGATAGAGTGGACATGCTGAGTGCAGCCTGATTGAACAGAGATGACAATAACTGCATGACAAACTCAATAATACAAAAATGGTCAAATGCATTTTTTCCCCCATCTCTTTTAGATTTGTTCGCACCGTGCTGCCGTTTTCTCAAGAGTTTCAGAGAGACAAGCCTCCCAACGCCCAGCCACAATACCTATATGGCTCGAAGGTGGGTTTGAACGAGTTTAAATATCACACCTAGATCAGTTACATCTCCTTTGTTCACATGCAGTTGCAATATGCCTCTCACAAACAATAACATACAGGGAAATCTTTTTTATTAAGCAAGATAGATAGGTAGGCAAGCTACATTTCAAGCAGAGAAGGATATCAACAGACTGTCAACTCGCAGAGACATTACAATCAAAAACGCGTAAATGCATTAAAGCTATATATATATATACGTAAATTAATTTTAATCTTAATTTTGTGTCTATTAGAAAATCCTATTTCCTTAAGCATAAAAATTTTAATTGTCAAATAAGAAGAATGATTAAATATGATTATTATAAATATAAGTATTAAAAAAGTGGGTGGATTTGTTTTTATTATAAATTATTTAAAAAAAATAATAATGGGAGTAAATTTTATAATTTAACATAACTTAACATTTAACCATTTATAATTTAACATTTAACAATAAATTATTATACTGAATGCATTAACTCGTGTTTACACATTTAACCTTATTAGAAAGGTATACCAAAACAATGTGCACCTTAAAGTTCAGTACAGTGTAAGCTTCCAACCTTTGAGGCCTCCTTCAGTTTTCTTGGTTGATTAGCTAATGAAGTTTTCATCTGACATTAAAATGCTAAGTTAACCCCATCAGCCCAGCCCAACTGTCTGAGCCTCATTTTCTCAAAATGCCTTCCACCCCGTTGATTGTCCTCATTGTGTAAGTTCTAATAGTTTGAATTTTGGGGGTCAGTATATCACATTTGGCACCCCAGTTATTTTGACTCCAGGCCAAATCTGTGTTTATTACTTTGTGTTCGAAGTTCACGACTCTGCCCGTTTCCCATTTCTCTGCCATGCTCGACTCGAAAAGGATTCTCGATCACCGTTGCGTTCTGAGAGTCGTCCTCGCCGCAACCGGGCATATATAGGTTTTTTCTTCCTTCACTTCCCATGTTTCCACCCATGGGGGTCAGAGCCAGGTGTGGATGGTTCGGACCTGGCTGGTTTCCTCTTCCTGGGTCCCTCTTTGCTGGACACATGGTGTGGAGACATCCCCAAAGCAGAGCCACGGCAATGATCAGCAAGAGAATGCTGCTGGCCAGCCAGACTCCCATCGCCAGCTCCCTGCCGCTCCCCCCGAGCTCAGTGCCTTCATCTAGGGTACTAAAGACCTGGCACTGCTCTCTGGTGGGATTGGCAGACTGGCAGGTGACACAGAGGATGTATGTGGTCTGAGGACTGAGGTCGCCCAGACTGGTAGACGTCTGGCTCACGGGAACCCTGTCCTCGCGCAGGAAACTCTTCCGCGTGTAACCCATCAGAAGGCTGTTCCAGTTAGGGTGATACATGACGCTGTAGAACGTATCCACACAGCCTGGAGAAGACGGCCAGCTAACGATGGCAGAGGTGGCGGTGACGTTCTGAATGGTGATAGGCATGTTGAGTATGTCTTTTAGGTCAAGAATCTCTCATAAACGCACAGTTTGATGATGAAAGCTGGTTTAAGACGACATGCAACGATTTTGAAGAATCTGAAAGAACAGAGGGCAAAAAATATTCATTCGGGTAATTTCTATCCTTGAATGTGGTACAAAAAGGCCCTAATAAATTACCAATGGGCTTGCATCTGGCATAAAACATGTTCCTAGAGAATTTTAAAACTTCAATCATTGGTTTCAGAACTGAAATTGTGTTTGAATTGAAGGGCTTTGTCAAAAGGAATTAATCAGTAACATTGATTATAACTGATGGTTGAGAACGGATTTTTAGCCAATTGCAGTGTTTGTTTGTTTTGCAGTGGCAATTGTAGCTTTTTTTCTGTTCTTTCTGTTCTTTTCTGTCTAACTTGTCTTTCATATTGTGATAATTAACATTGAAAATGGTTGAGTAGGTAACACAAGATGGCTTTTGTTATGGTTCTATCCTCTTTTGTCATTTCAGTTTTCTCTTTCATTCAAGTACAATTGCCCTGCACTAGCATGGTGTTAGATAAAGCAGATTTATCTAGTGGGAAAAAGCATTAGGTTATTGAGTACAAGAGTTTTTTTTTTTTTTTTTTTTTTTTTTATCCGCCTTGATTACATTGTATCTAATTTTTTTTCCCTCTCCAAAACTATGTATCAAGGTATCTAAAGCAGGATTATGTGAATTTCCAATTGACGTAACATCCATATATCCCCTTGCCAAGAGAGAAGTTCTTAAGGGATTCTCTCGAGTCATTATAATTGAATGGCATTACAGCACAATAAATATAGCTTTGAGGTTAAAATTATATAAATGTCATGGTTTAACAAATAAACTATATATTTATTTAGTGTCCACTGTTTTAAGACAGGCCATTGATTATGCATGTTCAAACACTGATTCATGGTTATTTTATTTAAATTCTTCATTTCTATATTTGTAAATTTGTATTTATTTCTTATATCCCCTTGCTTCAACTCTCAGAAAGCAGACAGAGATCTCAGGATATTTATCTTTGGCTTAAAATGTGAATTAGTTTGTTCATAATAGTTGGCATGTTTTGTTTCTCTTGCTGCTCATGGATTTAGTTTGTTTGAAGCCCATAAACTCAATCAATAAATCACCACATTGGACTTGTGTGGATGAGTGGTGGTGAACCTTTATGCTACACATTCACACTGTAATTACTCGGCAGTCAGCACTGTGTGAAAGCTTGAACACTAATCATTTTGATCTTCCAGAAGCACACTGTCAATAACATTCAGACAAAAAACAGAATGTATATTCCCTCGCTCTATGCACCTGTCACTCTTTTCAATCTGTTTCAGATCTGCATAGCTGCTAAAGATTTATCTTTAGTTGTATTTTCAGACAGTACTTAAATTGGTCTTTTACCATTCTTTACAGGTAATCTACACTTTTAAAAAAATCTTTGGGAGTCTAACAGAGACACAGGTGTGTCTGGGAAAACTGATATTGAGAGGTAAAGGAGCAAAAATCCTACCGTAAGAGATAAGAGGAGTCACTTCATAGACCGATCGTCTCGCTGTTGCAGACAGAATCCCCCTGAAGCGTGAGAGTGTATGACCTGTAGCTTTCTCTTTGGCATGGCTCAAGTCTGCTTCAGAAAGGGCTCCACATCCACACTGCTGCACAGAAAAGCTCCTCTTTCTGATTAGAGCAGCAGACGGTACATAAAGCAGAGAGAGCGTGCAGTGGGGAGGGGGGAGACGACACATCAATGTTTTGCGTAGACTGCATTTTAAACAGAATTACAGCTGGGAGAGCGTGAACTCTCTTGCTTGTCCTCTGTCTCTTACGCATCATTTTTCCCTCAATTATTGGAGGAACACACAGCTTTTTTCCTCCCCCACTGTGCTTTCAATTACTCCCTCAGACTGGCGACCTGTCTCCTCTGACTCACTGCCACAACACCTACGGACATGCATGCTCCTGCATTGGTGATAAATCTTTAATCGGTCAACATAAAAGTACTGTTTGCTAATTAGAGAAACAAAAGGAACTTGTTTCTTTCCAATTATTTATTTTTATAAAAAAAAATTTGCTGTTTAAAAACTGTTAAATTTTAATTTTAGTAACGCGACACCAATAAACAAAGGAATCTTCAAAAAATTCATTGGCATGTTGTAAAAAATGTTTAGTTTAATAGGTCTAGTCCTTCAGAGACAATTTTGAATAAATGATGAGATTCATTTAGTGTGTGTGATTGTTTCTGTATGCGTGTATGTATGTATATACATATGTATATATATATAGTTCAGTCATGACTCTAGAGGCGCAGGCTAATAGTAGGTCCTTTACATGCAATCTGCAAGCAATCACGTCATTAACATATGGAGAAAGCTCATTGGCCTCTGCTGATTCTGCAGCCAATGAGATTGCTTGCTTATTATTCAAATAGTCTGGTTCAGTGTTTGCTGTACCTGTCTAGATCTACTTCTATGGGATTTGTGTCTATTCATGCAGCAGCAGCATACCTTACATGCTCACAGCATACACTCTGTATCTATTGGCAGTGGCAAGTCCATACTTGCTCTGTAGCAGCTGTAATAATAAACAGCAGTAGAACATCGTCATATTCATTAACATGCTAAAACTATTTCATAAGTTGTCATGATTTAAATATATAAATACACACACCCTTTGTTAGTTTGACAGCACTTTGGTAATGTTTACATTTTCTCTTTTTGACGAATATTCAAAGCCACAGCTGGTTCTGAGCTGTGTTGTTGGGTATGAGCTACAGTGATCAGATTGTTTTTCTCTATAATTAACTAAGGCAGGAGACTTTATTAATTATTTAATTTTGTAACAGTTACTCTTCTGCTATTACTTTTTTTACATAGACATATAAAGAGTTGTAATTAACAAATTAAACTATGCCTCAACATAAACTCTTCAGTTTTGCTCCATGCATTCCATATCATGCTCTCTTTTCTTTTTTATGATGATTCAGGCCTTGAATTTGGCATACAGTAGCATATACAGCCTCTACCGGAACTTCCTGGGACCTCCGCATATTAAGGCTATTTGCAGACTTCTGGGATACCAGGGAATAGCTGTGGTGATGGAAGAGCTGTTAAAGGTCGTCAAAAGCCTGGTACGTGCACGAGCATTCAAATTGAAGTTTGTGTATGAGATCTGAGGGCTTTTGCAAGACGGATTTTTAATCTGCTGCGCTCAAATGTGCATGTTGTATTTTGTATTTATGTCCGACCACGTTCCTACTAGAGCCTTCGAAGTGATGCGTTATTTTGAGTGGTTTTAAACTGTAGAACATATCAAGTCACCTTTATTTATATAGCGCTTTATACAATACAGATTGTTTTAAAGCAGCTTTACAGTGATAACAGGAAAATGATTCAATGATGCAAACAGTTCATTTGGGCTGTACAGCAGCTCTAAAAGAAATTAGTTTGGTGCTAGCAACAAGCAAGTTCATGGGTTCGATTCCCAGGATTGCATGCAATGATACGGTGTATACCAAATTTCTAATCTCATGATGCATCACATCATTTTTAAAGAATCTTAATTTAATCAGATCATTGTTAAAGTTAACTTTTTGCACCACCAATCTGTCTTAAAGGATAAAGAATGTCTTTTTCAGGATGTGTTGGTATTAGCAAACATTTGTGCTGAAATCACCTCGTCGTCTTGTTCTTTCCGATGCAGCTTCAGGGCACAATCCTGCAATATGTGAGGACCCTGATGGAAGTGATGCCCAAGATATGCCGTCTGCCTCGCCACGAGTATGGCTCGCCAGGTGAAAATCACATTCTTAAACAAGCCTTTTATTTTCTGACCCAAGAGAGGAACTTTGACCCTGTGTAAATATTACCAAGTAGAAGATAAGCACTACATTATTAAGCTTTGGTAAGTCCAACTGTGCTGTTGAGCAGATTGGTAGTCTGTAGTGTCATTCACACATTGGTGCAAGCAGAGCTTGCGTAACAGATGCTGTTTTTAAAAAAAGACGTAGTCAGACTCTTGATTTGAGACGGTTTGGTAATTGCCTCTCGCCATCTTTCCCTCTCTCTTTGTTTATTACATTCCGGGTGACTATACTGAGAGGGTACACTCCATGCTGAAATCATGACTGTCTGATTGTGTCCTTTCAGACACCCTGGAGAAAAAAATGAAACAAAGTGGGTGGAGTAGAGACAGAGAGAAAAGCAGAGGGTATAAACACGGCAAATGGTCTGTTTATGTAGTTAAAAGCTTCTGCTTGTAAGATTAAAACTTATTCTTGGATTCTTGGCAGGAACTGGCAAAATGAAAGAAACAGTAAAGAAGTAAAAGGAAGTAAACTTAAAAACAGTCACTATAGATTGTTGTGGCTCTTCAGAAATTTTTAAGATTAAATATATGGGGATGAAACCACAGAATTTGGATGCAGAAATCAGTATTGAACACACACACACACATATACACTCACCGGCCACTTTATTAGGTACACCTGTCCAACTGCTCGTTAACACTTAATTTCTAAGCAGCCAATCACATGGCGGCAACTCAGTGCATTTAGGCATGTAGACATGGTCAAGACAATCTCCTGCAGTTCAAACCGAGCATCAGTATGGGGAAGAAAGTAGATTTGAGTGACTTTGAACGTGGCATGATTGTTGGTGCCAGAAGGGCTGGTCTGAGTATTTCAGAAACTGCTAATCTACTGGGATTTTCACGCACAACCATCTCTAGGGTTTACAGAGAATGGTCCGAAAAAGAAAAAACATCCAGTGAGCGGCAGTTCTGTGGGCGGAAATGCCTTGTTGATGCCAGAGGTCAGAGGAGAATGGCCAGATTGGTTCGAGCTGATAGAAGGGCAACAGTGACTGAAATAACCACTCGTTACAACCGAGGTATGCAGCAAAGCATTTGTGAAGCCACAACACGCACAACCTTGAGGCGGATGGGCTACAACAGCAGAAGACTCCACCGGGTACCACTCATCTCCACTACAAATAGGAAAAAGAGGCTACAATTTGCAAGAGCTCACCAAAATTGAACAGTTG